GACTTCTGGATGAATCGGAGATGGGAAGGAGAGAGAGAAAGGCTGAGAAACGCGGACAATCCCGCGGACACCTCCCTCTCTCTTCTTCCTCCATCCTCCCACATTTATTCGTATATATGAATCTCATACACACACACACACACACGCGCGCGCGCGCGCGCGCACTATTGTTCCTGTAACATTTGGTTATCAACTGAATAAAAAGTAAAGTATTACTTCATTATAGAGATGATTTTTGTCACATATCGGATATAATGGAAGCCTCGAATAATTTTGTTGCGCTGGGTTCTCGCGGTTATAAGGACGGTAATAACGGTGATAAACTGATCTAGTCGACCGCGGCAAAGTGCCCTTCGGGGGTGAAAGTCTTATGTCAGAGACATACATCTTATTATGCCGGACGAGCGCGTGACCCACGCAGCGGAACAGATTCTGCTCCCACGGAAAGTCCGGGAACGTGCTCTCTTCAAGAGAGAAAGAGAAAAAAGACATCCTCTTAATTTCACGACGCGTAGTTTGCGTCTGCAAGATGCGTAGGTGCAAAATCGAAGGTGCTCTCGAAGGTAATCCGAATAATTTCCATAATATCAATTTCGATAATCATTATACGCTATACAATTCGCTTTAATACAATTCGCCAGAATCGCATAGCATTCAGTTCCTTTTTATATTTTTATATTAAGTTCTTCTATTACAATTCTACTTACAATCGTTTTATTTCTTAATATTTATTAAAATTAATACATATGCGCGTAAATTATTTAGAAAATAATCTATAAAAATAATCTACATATGGTATCACATATAGTATTTTTTTGCAATTTATAACGTTAGATATTTAGGCAAAATGATTTCATTAACGAGTCGATACAGGCAACTTTATTAATATAATCCAGTAATGTAATAATCGCACTGAATCGATCCAAATGCGTGTCGTATGCCTTCTTTGGAAGGAATAAGCACGTTGCGACATAGGCAGACTAAAATAATTAATTAATACGATGGTCATTATAAACGAAAAAGGAACTTGAAATTTTTTGTTACCTTGAATGAAACGAGGCGGGCGAAGGCGAATCTTATAATTATTCAATGATATGTATTACTTTGGTGAAAGAGAGAATGCGAGAAATATATATATTCGATCTTCATATATATATATATATATATATATATATATCGGTAGATGCATTAACGAGATATGAAACTCTCAACCTTGTAACATATTGTCTATTGTGTTTTTTCCACAGTGTGTATATCGTTTCTGACCTGTTGCGAATTTCTGTCGATTATGCAAACATGATAAGGAACCGAGATTATACCGTGTTTCCTCAAAGAGAAAAACAGAAAAACAAAAATAAAAAGGGCGCGCGCACTTTTGTATGTGTATGTATGTGTGCGTTTTCGGCTAGAACGTAACTAATCGATCTCAACGATAGACGATTACTTTTCAATGAATTTATTGTGACAAAATCTGAAAGGTAGGTATATGTTGCGTGGAGAGGAGACATAGATGTCATTACTCGCGCCGCACTATTCACGGAAATAATGCGCGCAATCGAAGTATATCGTGCAGAATCGACACGATTGCGACATAATTATCTGACTTTAGTCATTTGCGGATAATAATCGAACGACCGGTTATATCTGGATTTGTATCGGCGATCATCCTTGTCATCTAGATGCGGAACTGGACGTGGTACGTCATTCGTTGGATATGTGCGCGTGCACATGCGCGTAATTTTGTCGGAATCATGAGGAATAGAGTGAAAGCACGTCATTATAAATATACTGCTTTTACCGCAGTCAATTGGAGTTTCTCGCTTCATAGAAGCGTGAATCCATGAACATACGCATCACGTACAGTATATAGCGTATACAATCGAATAATTGCATGAGTAAGATGGGTGATGCTGTCACGCATTCCCTCGGTCTGACCGATATATGTATATTTAAAATTATATCGAATTGATTATTATTTATCGCGCCGATTTTCTTGTACGTACGATCGAGAGATTAATTCTAAGAAAAAGAAAAGTAATAATAAGTATCGCGCGAAGATACGCGTCTAACTTTTGATTAAGAATTCGCGCATTTCGCGTGCCAATTCGCGAATGTGTTTATTATTCAATGCTGAGTGATGATAATTCAAAATGGCCAAACGTATATACGTCACACGTGCGTGCACGCGTGTGCGCGTGCCTCATGACACTTACCGCGTATTTGTCCTTATAAAAGAGCGAACTTGTCGACATGGTGCTTCAACCGGTGGCGATGCCCGCTTCAAATCGAAGATCACGTCGTCCTGCTCATCGTCGCTATTACCATCCACACCTTTCCGTTTCCGCTTTGGAAGCACCTTCTCCTCGCACTCACATCTCTACGCACTGACGATATTGATAACGATATTGATATTGACGTATAGATGGCAAGATAGAAAAACGTGAAGAGTTTAACTTGATGCGCTCAACACGTTTATCTTTCGAACTTTGCACATATTCGAACGTTATAAATTGATAAATTTTAATCTTTATAATACGTTAACCTCTTTATCTTTTGACGTACCGTCTTTAGAAAAAGGAACAACTTGTCACAACTTGTTGTCACTACTGTTAATTTTTATCACCAATTATAAAAGCTTCATTATCATAAAATGTACAGTGATAAAATAAAACAGAAAATAAAATATAAAATATATATATATTGCATGTCATGTGCGCGCGCGCGCGTGTGTGTGTGTGTGTGTGTGTGTGTGTGTGTGTGTGTTAGT